CGGTGGTGACTCGGACGCATATCCGAAAAGGTGCTTCTCTAAGTTGTGATGCATGTTGACGCCGGCGCGATGCTTGTGTTTACTGCAAGCTTTTGTACACCCGCTTGAACACCGTCTTGCCACATATTAAACCCTCTTCCTTTTTTTTGCAGTACTGTGTCCCTGCCTACACACACGGGTGCCTTTGCCTGAAACCCTATCGCAAATGTCTGTAAGCCAACACAGCACACATTCGTACATTATTGATTGATTGATTTGTGGGTTTTAACTTCCCAAAACCATGATATGATTATGAGAGACGCCGTAGTGGAGGGCTCTGAAAATTTCGACCACCTGGGGTTCTTTAACGTGCACCGAAACCTGAGCACACGGGCCTACAACATTTCCGCCTCCATCGTAAATGCAGCCACCAAAGCCAGGATTCGATCCCGCGACTTGCTGGTCAGCAGCCGAATACCTTAGCCACTAGAACACCGCGGCGGGGCCACATTCGTACATGATGAACTGCGTGCGAGATGAACTGTTGTGCAAGATGAACCATTCAGAGAGAGATAGAGAAGACTCTTGAAAACATTGGTTTGGATAGCCAGCCAAAGCAGGCGATCCCAATTAACCAAGATGGCAAAAAAACCCTACGCGATGATTAGCAACGCAGTTGTTTTAGCATTAACGCATTTAAGCTTGAACAATCTTAAACCACCGTTTGCTTAAACATGTACTATTAAAGAAAGGCGTGCTTATTCACTTGATGAGTACCAACCGTTTAGTTGTGTCAAAAAGCACTAACCTCCTCGTAAGTGCGGGTAGTAAAATACCGATCAGTGAAACTTGCTAGTTTGCAAAGTAGTTCGTGAAAAGTGCTAACTCGAAATACTAATACACAACTGAATTTTTAGTCAACGAGTGTTTATATGTGCTCGTGCATTGTCACACAAAGATAAATTAATTACAAAAGTATATATAGGATAATCACCTAGGCAATCTTGGCCAACTTCCAACGATTTGTGCGTTGCTAGGATGTAGTCGGCAACCGACTTCACTGGCCCCCAGCTATTTTAGTGCAAACGAAATTGATTGGCGCGTGATTTGTGCATGTCTATGCACGGAACATAGGAGCGAACCGAATGACTTTTTTGTTAATTAAGCAAAATTTGCAGACACCAAAACAGCTTGTTTAATTGAAAGATTTTACTTTTGTATTGAGCGCGAAGGATAGAGTTATTACCACCGGGCGCGAAATAGAAGCGTTCAAATGCTACATGACTTGCTGAAGGAATTCAACCTATAGATGGTGTAGCCGAGTGCCTTGAGGTTGGGCGTGAAGTTCGTCTTACGCATTTTCAGGGAACCAGTCACACACGCCTCGATTGAATATACACGGCAGTAGAGGCGATAGCTAAAAGCAATTTTACCTGTTTCTTTCTCTGACCACTGTCTTGTACATTGCAACGTGAGACACCAGCGAAAAGAAAACAAATTCAGTTGGGATTTGTGTAAAATTAACGCTAAACTACTTCGGGATGACAGTTTCAAAATCTTTGTGATTGAGGAAATTAAGAACGTTAAAGTGATTGGTGCATGTAATATTGGCGAGGAATGGGAAGCTTTAAAGCAAGGCGTTATAATTAAAGCCACATCGAGATCTAGTGCTTCAAACATAAAGAAAGAATGAAAGAAAATGAACTCATAACAACGATTAAAAATTGATACAACTAAATTTTCAGGAGCCCAGTGCATATAAAGAAGTTATTCGAACGATCAAAAGTCGAATTGAACTATTTGAGCTGGAGCGCTTAGTGAGGAGCCTCGAGCGAGTACATAAGCGAGTGCAGAAGCGTGGGCTATGAAGGGAACTCCTGCTAAACGCGCCCTTGGAATCGAGAAATCACAGGCGTGTCGTAATCACATCGACGTAATAGAGGAAAATGACATTCTGCTGAATACTAACAGCACTACCGCACAAGCCTTCTTTCGGTACAACAAAAGCCTCTTCGCAGCCGATGTCACAGAACGAGCGCTCAAAAAGGGCGCGCCGCCAAATTCTCGCGACGAACCACCGGAGTGACACCGCGAGGTCAACGAAAAAGAAAGAAAAAGAAAACAAACATCTAAAGGCTCCCCGGGCGCGCGAGCCTCTCCTCTCGGAAGCGTGGCTTTGCCGACGAACCTCCTCACCCCACAACGGCGGCCGAGCAAGCACTGGATTTTTCTAGAAGGAAAGGGACGTGGTCATACCGAGTTGAGTCATCCGCCGCGGAGGGCATTCCGGCCGTCTCGCTCTCTCCCCAGCCTTCGCTGCGTATCGCGCCGACGAAATGACGAGAACCTTCTGGAATCTCGCGCGGAAGGTATTTAATCTAGCAGCCGAGACGAGAGAGCAGGAGAAAACGGAAGTTAGCGCCAGAGTGCGTAGGGATTCCGCCGTGTAGTCGGCGAAGGTTTTGTCCATAGGAACAAAGCAGGAGCGTGAGGTTTCCTGGAAGAGAAACTTCGGAGGAGAAGACGGAAGTCAGCGCCAGAGCGCGTAGGGTTTCCGCCGTGTAGTCGGCGAAGGTTTTGTCCGCAGAGACAAAGCAGGAAAAGAAGAAGAGGATTTCTACCTGAGGGGTGAAGGCTCGAGCTACAGGCAAGAGCGTGTGTCTACCGCTATCGAGCGAGGACGCGTGGCAACAGCTGCGTGAGTGAAGCCGACGTGTTTCCGGCGAAGAAGTTTGAAGCGTGGAGAGAGGCCAATTGAAGACGCGAGGTTTCCTGGAAGAGAAACTTCGAGGGCGCGGAACGACAACAACGCTGGACTTTGAGTGAGTGATTCTCGGAAGAGTATCTTCCAGACTTTTGTTCAAGGAACTTTGGACTGGATAGGTTTTCTATCTCTTTAGTCTTTCAGTGTCTTGGTTTTTCAATGCAGGCGACTGCATTGTAGTGCGTATCGTTGTCTGTGTCCGTTGTTTTGAGTGTGGCTGATTGTACTGTGTAGTACGTTGTTTGATTGACGTATTGTATGTAACCATTGTGGAGTGTGCATTCTTGTGTATTGTTTTCGATCTGCCATTTTTGAGAATATAATATTTGTTTTGTTTATCAACTCTCGGCTCTGACTTGTTCTTTGGGCCACAGCCAGCGTCCGCTGGCGCGCCAAAAAGGACCACTTCTAAATTGTCCACGCTTTCGTGGTGCGGTTCGGGGGGCCGATGCTTCGGCTCTTGGAATTAGCCCGGCGATCGCCTCCCTTATTAACGGGACCTGTGTGTGACAGCCGAATTAGTGGACGTTACGAAGTTCAAGAAAACTACTTTCTTGAGCCGGATGTCGCAATTATCCGTCGAAACGAAAGATGCATTAGAGAGGCCTGTAACAGTCTCTGAAATTGAAAAGGCAATAGATAATCTCGCCACTGGAAAGTTCCCTGGGCCTGATGATCTCGGTGCGATATGAAATAAATCGTTTAAAACAGAGGTATTACCAGTGTTAGAAACTGTCTTCAAGGAAGCCTACACAATCAAAGCAATACCAGCTTCATTTTCCGAGACGCACACTATTCTAAAATCAAAGATAGATGAAAAATCAAGATTAAAATAGTTTCGTCATATATTCCCATTTCGCTAACCAACACTGACTACAAAATACTCAAGAAAGTATCGGCAGCTAGGTTGCAGTCCGTAATCACCTGAATAGTTGGGGCGCACCAAATGTGCGTTATCAAGGCACGCTCAATGTAATGAACTTACACATAGTGCTCCGTGTCCTGGAGAGTTGCGATGTTTTCCATTCTCTCGTTGCGATCCTCCAGTTTGACCTAGGAACGCTTTTGACTGCGTACTGCAAAACGTGCTATTCTGCATACTGGAACATGTCAGTACTGAATTGGTTATTACAGAGGGCTGAGTTTTGGCACATAACAACTGTAATACGACACTAATTACTAACAAGGTACCGGGGTATCTCATTAGGCTGGAACGTTCTGTACGCCAGGACTGTCCAGCAAGTCCGCTCTTGTTTGCATTGTACACAAAGAGCTTGAGCTTAGCCATAATAGAAAACGAGACCACCCCCTCTTTTAAACTTCTTGACGCCGAGCTAAAAGTTTTGGCATGTACTGATGATGCAGCACTGTTTTGTACCACCAAAGAAAGTGCACAAAAGACAGTTGCCGTTGTTCAAAACTTTGGAGAAATTACAGGCAGTTGGGTGAATTAGAGAAAGTGTTTGGGGTTGTGGCCCTGCGATTGGACATCAACCCCAGATAATTATGCTAACGTTAACTGGTTATAAATTCCAATAAAGAATCGAAGTATACCTTTCTAGCACTGCGAAGACATCAATGAGTACTGAACAGAACATATAAAACAAACGCGCGAAAAGACAGCGCAGTGGAACTGCAACTGTCTCTCAATGTTTGCCAGATCCATTGTATGCAACATATTTTAATAACCATATTATGGTATGTGATTCAGGTTTTGTGTTGCTCACGATTGGACGTACAAAAGCTGCATAGGGTACTTGCTGTGTTTATATGGGGTCCACTTGAGAAAGTTTTAGTAGAAGGAATCTGTTACGAAAAGTGAAACAGGGGTAAGCCTGTCGCATCTGTTCGTGTGACAACTAGTTAATCGTTATTTTGTTTTTCGTGATTTTCGACACCCCTTCTTGAGAGCTGTATGCCAATTACGCCTTTGTCATGTTTTGCATAACTTTGTGGTTTGCGCCGCAAGCATGCTCGGAGCCACGCGAGGTTTCTTCAGGGAGGTTGCGGACAGTGGCCGCTTTTTGCGAGTTTGATTTTCAAGTGAATATCTTTTTTCGTTCGAGCGAAACAAATTGCATAAAGACATACGCGACATCATTTTTACCGGCTCCTATGTATAGGTAAATTATTATCGGGAGAAAAGGCAATAATGCTCTGAAGCGTGTTAAGAATATGAAAATTCAGCCGAGTACAAAAACTTTTTTTCTCGTTACATTCGGGCGCCCGTTAAGACTTTTTTTTTTGCAGGTAGAGAATTTTACCTGCCATGGGGTTCGAACCTCTTGATCTGCCGAAAGCCAGAGACAATAGATCAGGTATTTTCGCATTGATGGGAAGGGGTATACTTTTCAAATGATTTACAGAGAATTCTAAAAAAAGAACTTCTGTCTAGTGGCTAAGGTATTCGGCTGCTGACCCACAGGTCGCTTGATAGAAACCTGGCTATGGCGGCTGCGTTTTTGATGGAGGCAGAAATGCTGTGGGCCCGTGTGCTCAGATTTAAGTGCATGTTAATGAACCCCAGGTGGTCGAAATTTCCGGAGCCCTCCACTACGGCATCTCTCATATACATATGGTAGTTTTGGGACGTTATACCCCACATATCAATCAATCAATCAATCAATCAATCAAAAAAGAAACATTCCTCACATTCACTGGATATCAGGTTTTCAACAATACAAAAAGAGGATGGGCTGCCTATTGGTTTTATATTGCTGCTCCGCCTCCATTATCTATGGCGGCCTAGAATTGCCGGTTTCTACTGTGACCCTGAGAGGTAGCCTGCACACATGCTTCTTTGCGAGAGCATTGCTCAACACGTTGATATACTCAAACAACAAGACTTTGTTCCGGATTGCCTCTCAGTGTGGAACTCTTGGTAAAGCTAATAAAATTTTAGCGCTGTAACCACTAAAAGCCTCGCGACTGTCCTAATATCTTTTCTGTTGTGCACATTATTGTTCATAGTGACCTATATTGATGTTTGCATCGTGTGCATTAACTGGTAATGAAAAAAAAAACTTGTAAAAAAGCTCCTTCATGGCTGAGTGGCTGACTCCTCCCACTCACAATTCAGTGGTCTATATATATATATATATATATATATATATATATATATATATATATATATATATATATATATATATATATATATATATATATATATATATATATATATATATATATATATTATGAGATGTGACAGACAATAATGCCAAGGAATGAATAGGGGAAGTTATTAGAACCAATGTGATGTAAATAAGAAGAAAGAAAAGTGGGTGAAAAAATAACTTGCCGTGAGCATGCATCGAACCTACGACCTTCAAATAACGCGTTCGATGCTCGAACGTATTACGAGCTGCCCGCTCGTAATAAGTTCACGTGCTGCGTGACGCTACACAGGCTCATAAAAGGGTGTTCCACACTCGCCGCTATGGCTACAGATGGCGCTGACTGACACTTCCACGTTTAAATTCACATATATATTCAATAAAGTGGCTGGGAGGATAGCCGCCGTGATAGCTCAGTAGTTAAAGCATCGAACGCGTTATTCTAAGGTCGTAGGTTCGATTCCTACTCACGGCAAGTTATCTTTTCAACCACTTTTCTTTCTTCTTATTTATATTCCACTTGCTCGAATAACTTCCGCTATACATTCTTTGGCATCATTGTCTGTTAGATCTCAATAATATTGTGTCAAAACACGAAAAAACGAGCCCTTATGTACACACTTCTTTCCGTTATATATATATATATATATATATATATATATATATATATATATATTGGTTTCGTTCTGAGTGTTGACAGTGGTTCTTCCTCTTTTTACTTTTTTCTTTTCTTTCTTTTTCTCCCCCTTTTTTGTTTTTTCCCCTTTTTTAGTTCCCTCTCACTCTCGTAAGCATCTTTCGAGGCGAGAGGGACGCGGCAGCAATGAAGTTTGGAAGCTCATGTCAGTATAACTCCTCCCCTGATAAAGGGAGGAGCCCTCCCGAAACTGTTGGGAAATAAATATATTTATCCTTGTTGACAACGCTCCCGTTGTCATATATGTCAACGTTGTCATGTATATATATATATATATATATATATATATATATATATATATATATATATATATATATATATATATAGTGGGAGTAATAATTCAATGGGCCAGTTAGTCTTCGTGAAGGTATGGAATATGGCACAACGGGAGCGTTGTCAACAAGGATAAATATATTTATTTCCCAACACTTTCGGGAGGGGCCCTCCCTTCATCAGGGGATGAGTTATACTGACATGAGCTTCCAAACTTCGTTGCTGCCGCGTCCCTCTCACCTTGAAAGACGTTTGCGAGAGTGAGAGGGAACTAGAAAAAGGAAAAAAAAAGTGGGAGCAAAAAGACGAAAAAAAGAAAGAAAAGAAAGAAAGTTAAAAAGAAGAAGAACCACTGTCAACACTGAGAACGAAGCCAACTGTCCGTCTACATCCACATACGGTTCATATCACGTGTTGTTCAGTTCTTGACGTGTGTCGGGCCACCCAAGATTGTCGCCGCGGTGCCGGGAGGGTCCGTGACGGCGTGCGTAAAGAAAGGGGTTTCCCCGTAATGGGTCGTTCGGCGGGCGGCGGGCGTAAAGGAAAGGTTTCTCGTTAATGGGTCGGTCGGCTATTTACCTTTAACCTTCGTCCGTTTCCCTTCAATGGTCATAAAGTGGTAGGCGAACGTAAACACTTTGTATGTGCATGTGGAAAAAAACCACAATAAAGGACAGTGTACACGTGCGAGTCAGTCAGAAAAAAGCATGGTCTCCAGCTATCAATCTTTGTCACCAATTTTCTCCTGGCTTACTTCTCGGAGGAAGTTGAGTTTTCCGGGGTCCTCGTTGATGCCGGCTACTAATGTACGAAATTTGAAAATAAAATATGCCTCACGCTGTTCGCGCTCGCGTCTGTTTGAGAAACCGGACTGGAAAAGAGTTACACTGATATTTTCAAAACTGTGGTTTGGCAGGCTCAGATGTCTAGATAAAGGTAGCTTCGGCAGTGAAGTGGCGTGGTACCGGTGGTTATTGAACCGCAGCCGAAATGGCGTGTCTGTTTGGCCGATATATTCTTGTCCGCAGATGTTGCAATGTAGCATGTATATTACGTTACTGGAGTCACAATTAAGGCTTTCAGTTATGCAGAATTTGAAATCCGAGAAGTTCGCTTTGGATTCACGTGTTGTGACCATCTGTGGGCATACCTTGCATCGAGCTTTTCTGCAGGGATGGCACCCTGATTGAATTTTTGGGGGTGTTTGTTTTTGCTCTGACAAGAATGTCCGTCAGATTTTTATCCCGGCGGTACACCACGTGAGGTGGCTTCGCGAAAATAGAAGTTAGTCGTTTGCTTTGCCTAATTATGTTGAAATGGCGGGAAAGTATCTTGTTGATTCGTGGCGCTGATGAGGAGTAAGTTAGTACAAGGTTCGTTTGGGAAGTCGTTTTAGATACTCTGTTTGGTCCCTTAATTATATCATTCCTGTTCACATTGCGAGCACGTAGTACGGCATCGTCAATAATGTCTTCCGGATAATTTTGTTTCAGTAAGGAATGCTTTAGGTGTTCCGCGTGTCTGTCAAATTCCCGCATATCGGTGCATATTCTTCGGTACCGGTAGGCCTGAGAATATGGAATACCCGTTTTGCAATGCTTTGGGGGGCTGCTGTGGAAATGTAGGAACATTTGACGGTCTGTAGGCTTTTTGTAAAGGTTTGTTGACAAGCGGTCATTTTCGACCTTGACAATGACGTCCAAAAAGTTCATGCTAGTTTTGGAAATTTTGTGCGTGAATTATATTGACGGGTGGCATTTGTTAAAATCCTCTATGAAGCAAAAAAAACTTCCCTCATCATGGTTCCATATCATAAAAATATCGTCTAAGTATTTTCTGTAGTAGAAAGGTTTCAAGGTGCGTCCCTCAAAGAATGGGATTTCAAGTGAAAGGTGCTCGCGAAGTTTGGGGCCATTTTCGCGCCCATTGCAGTGCCACTGACCTGAAGGAAATGCTTGCCGTTGAACTCAAAATGGTTATAATTTAGTACAAGTTCAAGAAGTGTAAACAGTACATCGTCACTTACACTAGTTGATGAGTCAGATTTTACGTATTCAGAAACCTTAGCCGCTATTCCGTCATGGTGGGGTATGTTGGTGTACAGTGAGCAGGCGTCCATGGTCACCAGAAAACTGCCGCCTGGGATGTCGAGACTTGAAGTTTCGCAGATGAAGTGGTTTGTGTCCTTTAGGTAATAGGGAAAACTTGGGGGGACGATTTTATTAAGGAATTGATGAATTCTGATATATTTTCTGTTGATGTGCTGTTACTGGATACTATCGGACGTCCCGGATTACCTGCCTTGTGTATTTTGGGGAGCAAATAGAATCGACCGGGAACAGAATGGGCCGGTAACATTGCTTTTAACATTTTGCCGGTAATCAGACGCGAGCGCGAACAGCGTGAGGCATATTTTATTTTCAAATTTCGTACATTAGTAGCCGGCATCAACGAGGACCCCGAAAAACTCAATTGCCTCCGAGAAGTAAGCCAGGAGAAAATTGGTGACAAAGATTGATAGCTGGAGACAACGCTTTTTTCTGACTGACTCGTACGTGTACACTGTCCTTTCTTGTATGTTTTTTTCCCACATGCACATACAAAGTGTTTACGTTCGCCTACCACTTCATGAGTGGTTTAGTGGGCGTGGAGGCAGCACAACTGTGGCAATGGCTTACGAGCTTCGCTTTCACGTTATACAGGTTGGTGAAATCAATTCATTATATGCTAAGAAGACAAGTAACCGTTGTTTACTGCTGCTTCCACGCCCACAGGTGTTATACGTCTTGTCGCGAGAGTGTACTAACGCCCTTTGCTCGCTACTCTTGTGTTGCGGTGACGTTGAAGCAAACCCAGGGCCTCCAAAAAAGACCCCTGGGCCACTAGATGATGTCGAGAACAACATAGCTTCTTCTGATGCGCGTCATAAAGAAGTCATGGCAATGCTTTCTAAGATAAGCGCCCGCTGTGATTCATCTGCCGTTGAGCAGTCCAATTTGGCAAAGGCGATCGACGAGGTGAAAGCCAACCAGCAACTTGTGGCGAGCAAACTATGCGAGATTGAAAGGCGGCTTTCGACGGTTGAACTGCGGACTAACTCGGTTGCGGACATTGAGAAGGAATTGCAGGTCGCGAATGAAGCTATCGGCAGCATCACTCAAACAAACGACGCATTGGTGTCCCGTCTAAACGACCTCGAGGACAGAGCCCAAAGGTGCAACTTAGTGTTTTTCGGTATGCCCGATAAAAATGAGACCTGGCAAGCTACTGAAGAGGCACTTACGAACTTGCTCTCTAGTAGCCTAGGCGCCGAGTTCGACCCGAATGCAGTAGAAAAGGCCCATCGTTTAGGTGGTCCATATATACGCGAGAAAACTCGACCAGTGATAGTAAAATTTGCAAGCCTTAAAGCAAAAGAACTTGTGCTGGCACGTCGATCGAAGCTGAGAAGTCATAAAGTCTCTGTATCGGAGGACTACTGTCAGGCTACAAGAACAGCGCGCAAGATGCTGCACAATTATGCAAAATCATTGCCTGGCCGACCCGCTTTTCAGCTTCGTTACGACAAGCTCGTTGTTAACCACAGAAACTATTGTTATGATGCTTCCGCGGGCATTGTTCGCGAGACTACTGCGCATTCTCGCAGTAATGGCAGCGAATCCCGCATCGAAAATGGGGCGCACTCAACTTCTGATCACAGCCATGACCTTCACGCACGTTTATTGCCTGATGCCGCACTTTTGTCCCGTGCGCGGACATCTAATGCCTCCTCATAACAATCAGCAAGGGGAAGTGGCAGTATCGTATCACGTCCTATTTCGGTGCTCTACACGAACATCCGTAGTATAATGGGAAAGCGGGACGCTTTTGACGCTTTTATCGATTCTTGTGAAGCCGACGTGATTGCCGTGACTGAGACTTGGTTGAATGCTCATGTTTGCGATAACGAAATCTTTACTACTTCCAAATCGTTGAACATTTACCGCCGCGATAGAGATGGAAGACAAGGTGGTGGCACTTTGCTTGCCATTTCGAAGCATTTCAAGTCCTTTCTTATAAACGTGACGTCTACATTGGAAGTGATATGGTGCGGGTTGGTTGTGAATAATAAAACGCTTGTTCTTGGCGTCTGTTACCGCCCTCCAGATACAGACATCAGCTTTGTTCAGGAGTTTCACGATAACATTAATGAAATTACAATGCGGTACCCATCTTCTTCGATAACTATTCTCGGTGACTTCAACTATCCTACCATAATGTGGGCGTCATCGTTACCAGAAGTCGTACCATTTTCTTCAAATGGCCAATGTTTTCTCGATACTTGCAACCTGTTTAATTTTACGCAGATGGTGAATAACCCAACTCGCGTCACCAATTCTTCATCGCACATTCTTGACTTGATTCTTACAACAATGCCCGACAACATTCATGCACTAAACTCACTTCCTGGTCTCAGCGATCACTGTCTGCTACATTTTTACATACGCAACAGCATGCCAACTGCTACTAAGAAACGCAAGGTTATCTATAACTACAATGCTGCAAACTTTGAGGCAATCAACAACGAACTCTCTCTATTTTACGACACTTATTTACATGACTTTGATAATAGAACCGTGCAGGAAAACTGGGATCTGTTTGTTAACAAAATCTACGAACTTACTCGTACCTTTGTTCTCTTAAAGTCTATACCTGTGAGCTCTTGCTCACCCTGGTACAATACAAACCTAAAGCGACTTTCTAACAAAAAGAAACGCTTGTTTCGTGCTGCGAAACTCCAGAGTACGGAGAAACGCTGGCGCTCCTACGAGAGTGCTGCGCGAGTTTACTCGTCAGCAGTTTCGGATGCTAAGGCCAGCTTTCTATCTAACACTCTGCCATCAATGCTTGTAAGCAACCCTAGAAAGTTTTGGAAAACTATTACAAATACCAACGACAGTGAAATCGTACTTGTTGACTCGGACGGCCTTCCCGTATCTTCCGAGATGTGTGCAGCACGCCTGAACGAAAATTTTGTCCGGAACTTTTCAGGGTCGTCCACTTCTGCTACCGTCTCTTTACCAGCGCGCAACTATCCATCAACGTCTGTTATAGTGACTGAGGCCCATGGAATTGTAAAAATAATTGAATCGCTCAGAATATCCTCTGCTTGTGGTGTTGACAACATAAACGCAAGAATCCTTAAAGAAACTAAGCATGCCTCATCTATGTTCCTGTGTAAAATATTCCAACAGTCTTTGAATGAAGGTGTGGTGCCACGCGTTTGGAAAGAGGCAAAGGTGGTTCCACTACACAAATCAGGAAACAAGCATTCTGTTACTAATTACCGACCTATTTCACTTACTTCTATACCATGCAAACTTTTGGAGCACATAATTTTCTCTTACTTGGTCAACTTTCTAGAATCAAAATCGTTCTTTAGCACGTCACAGCATGGATTTAGGAAGTCATTCTCATGTGAAACACAGTTGCTTTGTTTTACCCATTCGTTACATATCATTCTAGATCGGAGTTCACTGGTCTACTGCATCTTTTTAGACTTTTCGAAGGCTTTTGACAAGATTAATCATCACCTACTACTATATAAGCTTAGGACCCTTAATATTGATGGCGGCATTCTTGCTTGGATCGAGTTTTTCTTAATTAATCGCTCACAATTCGTTGTTGCTAACAACTACAGCTCACCCTCTTCTCCCGTTACTTCTGGTGTGCCCCAGGGTTCTGTGTTGGGCCCTTACTATTCCTTATTTATATTAACGATTTACCCGATGTTGTAACTTCTTCGATTCACCTTTTCGCCGATGACTGCGTTGTTTACCGAGAAATCTCATCTAACTCTGACGCTAGTTCTTTGCAAAGTGACATTAATAATATTGCCAGCTGGTGTAGAACTTGGCACATGGACCTCAACACTAACAAATGTAAAGTTTTACGTATCTCACGAACTACCCGACCCCCTGCTAACTACATCTTAAATGACGTTGATCTAGAGTCTGTAACTTCGTATAAATACTTGGGGATTCATGTAACATCTGACTTGAACTGGAAACATCATATTACTTATGTTATTAACAATAGCAACCGTATGCTAGGGTACCTACGACGCAACTTCAGCCGTGCCCCTCAAGCCGTGAAACTAACCATGTATAAAACACTAGTTCGTCCAAAACTTGAATATGCATGCTCCATTTGGGATCCTTTTCAACTGAACTTGACTCACTCGCTTGAAATGGTACAGAATAACGCAGCACGCTTCATTCTATCTAACTACCATCGCACTAGCAGTATTACGTCAATGAAACGGAGCCTTTCACTACAGTCACTTGAATCACGTCGCAAAGCATCTCGTCTCATACTTTTTCACAAGATAATCAATCATCCACTTTTGAAAGCTCAGTTCATTACCACTCCTGCCTATTGCTCAGCTCGTTTAGATCATCAACATAAGGTACACGTCATTAGCTGCCGCACTAACACTTTTCATCATTCCTTCGTTCCACGCACATCCAACGACTGGAACCACCTTCCCTCAGACATGGTTTCCATTTCAAGTCACGACTTGTTCTCATCTACAGTACAGAATTACTTACGTGATGACACGTGAAGTGTATATTGTACATATATATTTTTGTACTCTGTTTGCCCCATTCTGATGATACTTACACGTACATTCATTGTACTGCCTAACATCGAATTTTCATGTTTTGTAATTTTTATTATTTTGATGTTACTATGTTTGCTCTTGGTTATAGTTTTTTTTTTGTACCCCACTCCCCTCTGTAAAGCTATGTGCGATTGAGGGTAAAATAAATGAAATGAAATGACCATTGAAGGGAAACGGACGAAGAATAAAGGTAAATAGCCGACCGACCCATTAATGAGAAACCTTTCCTTTACGCACGCCGCCCGCGGAACGACCCATTACGGGGAAACCTCTTTCTTTACGCACGCCGTCACGGACCCTCCCGGCACCGCGGCTACAATCTTGGGTGGCCCGACACACGTCAAGAACTGAACAGCACGTGATATGAACCGTATGTGTATGTATACGGACAGTTGGCTTCGTTCTCAGTGTTGACAGTGGTTCTTCCTCTTTTTTACTTTCTTTCTTTTCTTTCTTCTTTCGTCTTTTTCTCCCCCTTTTTGTTTTTTTTTCTTTTTCTAGATCCCTCTCACTCTCGCAAATGTCTTTCAAGGCGAGAGGGACGCGGCAGCAACGAAGTTTGGAAGCTCATGTCAGTATAACTCATCCCCTGATGAAGGGAGGACCCCTCCCGAAACTGTTGGGAAATAAATATATTTATCCTTGTTGACAACGCTCCCGTTGTGCCATATCCCATACCTTGTATATATATATATATATATATATATATATATATATATATATATATATATATATATATATATATATTAGGAGAAAACTGTGCGCTCTGGGGCTTCAAGCACTTCTCAAAGTCTACGCATGCACTTACATCATTATTGTAAGAGCACATTTTTTTCTTATTGTTGTATATACCCACAAATTACTTTGCATAATTGTCGGAATAGATCTTATAAACGCATGGGACTGTGCATCTAGTCAAGTAAATAGTCTGCCTTTCTTCGAGTATAATTTGCTACGTTTTTTTTTTTTGTTTTCAGCTTTTCCTAGCAGAAGAACGATACAAGCCTAGATCTTGGTGGTGAAATGTCGCACATCGAATACGTAATCACGGCCAAGAGCACCAGAATTGACCGAAAGAGGAAAGTGATCTAGCAGCAATACCACTCTATCTATTGCATAGTTGGGTTGCACAAGGGCTGCTGCCAATCGTTCCATGCGAACAATGTTGCGTAAAGAATAGTGCATATAAAAACTGTGAAATAAAAATAAAAAGTGAGGAAGCTTACGTTCAAGTCTTTCTTTTTTGTTATGTACTTACACGCTAACAAGTGCACACTTTAGAGGTGTTTAATGTTTTACACGTGCGCTGTGCCAATGTCATGTGCACAAAATACAAAAAAAAGAAAAGCAGAGCAAGAAACGTTTGCAACCGGCCTGTAGCCGTCGGTAAATACGCGCTTGTGTTAGGTCGCACTACGGTTGACCTTCGTGCGGCACGCACTCGGCCTTATCGGCCAACGCGGCAGGAGCTACGTTGGGCGCCGACGTAGGCCTGCGTCATGCCGCCAATCTTCAAGAACGGTCCTACGTCGGAGTCAAGGTTGGGCCAACCTCAGAGTAGTTGAAGAGTGACGACGGCCACCATTTTGCCCAGGATAAACTGTTGCTTGAGAAGCGAAGTGCAGTTGTTGACGTAGATTATTTGGTAGGCACTAATTATTTCATGTAATTACCATGGCAAGTACGCATCTCAGCATTATAGATGCATCAACAAATCACAGGCCAGGACATACACACAAACACGCACATGTAATAGACAGTTATAGTTTACCGTTAGCGTGATAGCGGAGAATGGCGTTACCGTGCAGCAAACGATCGTTTTGAACAGACTTTTATAGTTTAGTCGGACAGCGTTTACGTGGTTTACGTGCCCCTGCTGGGATAGTGGCGCCACCTATCAGATTGTTAATAATTTGCAGAACAGTGAAAAGGAAAAGGAAACGAGAATGTTTGCCTATGCCAACGCGAAGCATAGTTGAAAGTTTATTTTAGTAATAATAAAAGTAAATAAATACGAACCACACACCAAGCGCGAAAACATTCATGTTGCCGATTTGTTTACATTAATTTTGTAGTTAGGCCTAAACACGTTTGAAATCGCAAGCTATCTCAAAAACTATGCCAACGTATCTGTGATACTCGGTCATCGAAGCTAACTGAAGGCAAGCGAAGCCACTTTAAACAATCGTTTGCTGCGAACAAAGTGAACCTTTCAACTACGCCAAAATCATTTCGCCTGAGAGCGCCGCCATGTTATGCGTACATACGTACACCTACGATAACACGTTAACGTTAAATCTGATAAATAGCCCGCCTATGGTAAGCGGTACGGCTAACGTACGTATCTGCGCACGCGCACTTCGATCCCGCTATCACGATATGCCCGGTATCACAGTAAGCTAGGTATATAAATGTCTAGTATCATGACTTAGCTGCTATCGCATACTGTATCAGCCGTTTGAAGGCTATTGATTCTCCTGCCTTGAAATAGCACATTGTGCATGTATTATTTAGTAGCCATAGAATTTAGAATAATAATGGGCGTTTTGTACGCAACATCCTCTGTCCTTCTATATATGTTTGTCGTCCTGTAGCACGAAATTTTTATTCCAGAGTAATCGACAAAATGAAAATTCGCTTGAGTTCTTTACAGTGTCAATAATAATAATTTATTTATTCATTATTTGATTGATTGATTGATTGATTGATTGATTGATTGATTGATTGATTGATTGATTGACTGATATGTGGAGTTTAGCGTCCAAAAATTACCATATGGTTATCACAGACGTAGTGGTGGAGGGCTCCGGGAATTCAGACCCCCTGCGATTCTTTAAAGTGCACCCAAATCTGAGCACGTAGGCATACAGCATTTTCACCTCCATCTAAAATGCTGCCGCCCCCAAGTATACTGCGAGGTATACTAATAGTAATTATTTATTTTGGGGTTTAACGTCCCAAAACCACCATATGATTATGAGAGACGCTGTAGTAGAGGGCTCCTAAAATTTCGATCACCAGGGGTTCTTTAACGTGTGCCTAAATACAAGCACGCCGACCTCAAGCATTTTCACCTTCAATTAAAATGCGACCGCCGCGGCCGGAATTCGATTGTGCGACCTACGGGTCAGCAGCCGAGTGCCTTAGCCACAACACTCCTGTGGGTCGCTGCAAGATATGCGGAGGTGTTAACTAGAAATCCGGCAACATATATGGCTTCGTAGTTACCTAGTTAAAGAAATTCCGCCATATCCACGAAGCGAATGATGATGAGTGGGCGAAGCTCCGGAGGTGAACTTGGTAAACCATGAATCCTCTGTACATTTTGCCCACTCGATTTTATTACATCGCTCCCCCTAGCGTACGTCGACGCACTAAATCGAACGATTGCCTTCAACCAATGACACGCGCCATACGTGACATCATTCCTATTTTATAAGATCTCGCGTCTTTCATCAACTACAAGTACCGCTTTCTAGTTTATAACATCTTGCATCTTTTCATCATCAGCTACAAGTACCACTATCTAGTAAACACTACAAGAACTAAACGAGAGGTGGCTACATACAGGAGACGGTACCGCCATCTAGTGAACACTGCAAGAACTAAACTAGAGGTGGCTACATACAAGGGACGGTACCGCCATCTAGTGAACACTGCAAGAACTAAACTAGAGGTGGCTACATACAGGCTACAGGGGACGCACAGCCCACGCCCTAAGGAGCTTCGCCCCTAAAAAAATCAAAAATTGGCGGATCCCACGTACTGTGGTAATCGATCATATGCGAAGCACGAATGAGGAAGGTTGATATGTGACATCGAAATCAGCACAGCGTTACGAGGTGGAGGTAAATGATGCCCTACATGACTTCCGTGTCATGATTATCATATTTAGATGTGTCGTTTACGTTCGTCATATATTCACGTTACGTGATACCAAATTTACTATATGTGGAGCTAGCAAAACAGCCGTGAGTGCATCATGAAGTGCCCAATATACTGCGATGTAGCGTTGACGCACGCTGAGTACAGCGACGCTACGTTAGCAAAACGCGAGCACTCTATTCACCTTTTCATAAACGCCTCCCTGGGCGCCGCCATAGCCCCCTTGGGCTGTGCAAATTGGCGCGTCACCTCGAAAATGCACTGGAAATGTTGCGCCTTCAGCCTTTGTACTCCCGCGCACAGCCCATCATGGCGGTGTATTTTTCCTTCCTGTGAAAAGGTGTATAATCTGACGCCAGACGCGACGCCGGCGCGGCCCGATGGTAACCAGGGCAAAATGCGACATGCTGCATTTCACGCCAATGCGTTACCCAGACACCACTGCTTCTTACTATTTTCGTGTGGGAGGGACGCCGGACGCGCTGAAACGCGCATGGTTCAATGCAACGAAGTGCTGCGCGTGCCTGCGAGTATATGGGACGACCGGTACCCAGCATGGCAACGCCGGCGTGACGCGACAAAATGAACGCTGGTGAGCACGCTCACCGCGTCACGTCGAAATTTATTGGCGCCTTGACTGTGACATATAGTCATGTTCTCATATGACACGCATCTCATGATTATTTATTTTGCACCAGTCACATATTTTCGTCATTCACTCACGTCACGTAATACCGAATTTGGCATATGTGAAGCTAGCGAAACGGCCGCGAACGCATCATGAGTGTGGCATGTAGTCAAATTGTTACATGACACGCATGTCGTGATTATCACATTTGGATGTGTCATTTACCTATGTCATTTGTTCGCGTCGCGTAATACCGAGTTTAGTACACGTGAAGCTAGCGCGACGGCCGCGAGGGCAACATGAGCATGGTGGCATGTAGTCATCTTCTTACATGACATGCATCTCATGTTTATCATGGTTGCACCTGTCTGATACCTTCGTTATCCAGTCCCGTCCCGCAATACCAAATTTGGTATAAGTGAAGGTGGCGAAACGGCCGCCAGTGCATCATGAGCGTGGCGTGTATTAATGTGTTTAGATGACACGCATTTCACGATTCTCACGTTTCTACCTGTCACATACCTTCATCATCCATTCACGTAGCGTAATACCACATTTGGTGTATGTGACGCTAGCGAAACGGCCGCGAGCGCATCATGAACGTGGCATGTAGTCATGTTGTTACATGACACGCATGTCATGATTTTCATGTTACGGTCTGTCGCTTGTGTTCGCCATGCAATTGCGTCATACCATACCAGTTTTGTAATATGCTATGTGAACGACACCACCGCAAGACCTGCAGGACCATTAAATGTAAATCATGACAATCATGACAAAATTTTATGATTTTCATGTTATGACAAGTCAAACATTTTTTCTTCATACACTCATGTTATGTCATACCAAGTTTGGTATTGTTACCATTATCGAAACGGCCAGGAGAGCTAAAAGTCTTAGACGTCTAGATAGATACGCTCAAAGTCGCCGAAGTTCGCTAAGAAATGCTTCGCATTTAAAAAGCATTCCTGGTAAGTAACAGCAAAGATTTCAAACTTTTCTAGCTGTTTGCTATAGTAAAAAGAAGTCGCCGAGGTAATATAATAAGCTCGGAACAATAAATGCATGCGTTGCCAACTGTTTACTAACTCTTTTATTATATTGTGCTGACCATGCGAATTTCACCATCTACAGAGGGCGCTACTGTAATTCCAACATGGCTGTCATCTGGAGGATTATGCTGCCAGCGCGCCGGCGGCCGCCGCTGGTGTGCCCGTTACTTCGAACTGCGTAGTATTTTTGGTTCTTGCCCCGGTGTTGTCAAGGCTTTGCTTAAAAGGTCATTGACTCTAGCAAGGATTACACTGGGTGTTGAGAAACGTGTGTGCTGTGTATTATTGAAGGAAAAGAAGATTGGAACGTCGGGCACATCGTTTGCTGTGGAAATACATGCACGAGCCATGGTTGGAATTAAGGAGCTACGAAGCGATGAAGGTTAGTTGACGTACTGCACTGACTTATTTACTTTAGTAAGGGGGTGTGGGGGTATATTTTTTTTCGACAGGGTATTCTCGCCGGCTTTGCGTGCGTGACCGGCTCTTATGGAATTGTAGTTTCTTTTTCTTTACCCACAGGTAGTACAAAAACAACTGTTGCTCACAATGCCCGAACGCTTCACACGAATGAAGCGCTTGCTGCTGAAGTGTGTGGCACGGAATATGCGCACACAGTCGTTCACTCTTAGATAGGTCATGTGAGCGGATGGTT